AACAAATTTATTTTGTCATCTTAGGCTGTTTAATACATCAGTATTAACAGATTGTCATGGTCACTGTGTGCTAAAACTGGCAAAGGCTCCTGCGTAGTCATGGGAGAAGTGTGATCATAGACTCTGAGCTGTTGTGATGCATGTAGACAATGGACTTGGCAGAGAAAAATCCTATTCCACCATTTGCGGTGCCATTCCTTGTTATAAATATGGACACCCTGTTGTGTTTTATTGCTTTGATGCCGTGAATCCTCTAGTAGGGGGTATGTTGCCTTCTAACATTTTTGCCATTTCATAGAACATGATATACCCATCCACCCATCCATCTGCATCCGCTTCATCCGAGACCGGGTCACGGGGGCAGTAGTCCAAGCAGAGCCTCCCAGACTTCCCTCTCCCCACACACCTCCTCTAGCTCCTCAGGAGGAACTCCAAGGCGTTCCCAGGCCAGCTGGGAGACATAGTCTCTCCAACGTGTCCTGGGTCTGCCCCGAGGCCTTCTCCCGGAGGGACATGCCCGGAATACCTCCCCAGGGAGGCATCCAGGGGGCATCCTAAACAGGTGCCTGAGCCACCTCAACTGGTTCCGCTCAGCGTAGAGGAGTAGCGGCTCTACTCTGAGCTCCTCATGGGTGACTGAGCTCCGCATCATATCCCTAAGGGTGCGCCCAGCCATTCTCCAGAGGAAACTCATTTCTGCCACTCGTATCCGCAATCTCATTCTTTCGGTCATGGTCCAAAGTTCATGGCCATAGGTGAGGGTAGGAACGTTAACCTTCCACCTTAACGTCCACCTTAACATGGTGGAGGGGTTTGAGTGCCTGAATGATCCCAGCAGCTATATTGTCGGGGGCTATATGTCCCTTGGTAGGGTCTCTCATGGCAAACAGGTCCTGGGTGACAGACCAGACACTAGGCCACTTATGACAAATAAAAAATCAAGGCTTACGTTTACCCCGCCTGGTATGGGGTCACCAGAGCCCCACCCTGAAGCCAGGTCTGGTGGGGGGGGGCTCGCGTGTGAGCGCCTGGTGGCCAGGCCTATACCTGTGGGGCCTGGTTGGGCCCAGCCCGAAACCAGAATGTGGAGCCACTCTTCGGTGGGCCCACCACCTGCTGGAGAGGCCATAGGGAGCCGGTGCATTGTGTTTTGGGCAGTGGTCAGGGCCGAGTGCCTGGCCAACCCAAACCTCGGACATCAACTCTGGTTGATCGATCGATCGATCGACATGACATACCATATCTCACTTTGTTTAAAAGCCAAATTGTCAGTGCTTAGCCCAGTGAATATGAATGTTCAAATTTTGAGCTTTGAACCGTCCCTTTAAAATGCACATTATCACTAATGGAAACTTGAGAGGTAATGAAGTCTCTGCTCTCATGCCTAATAACAACAAATGAATTTAAAGGCCTAACTCTGAGCCAGACCTGCAGAATCGGATGAAGCCTGTTTAGCAAGGCAGCCTTAAGTGAAGGCATTTCCTGAATGATGTTGCTCACATTTTTCTAATGTAGTTCCAAGATGATATATGCATGAGTCTGTCATGTTTAAAGATCTAATATAGTGGTGAATTTACAGCACAATTGCCGTTTGTGCTCTTACTAATATAAAAGCACCAAAGGCCATTATCCAAAAGTATGAATGGCCCTGTATATACTAGGTTCGGCCCTGTTGCTTTGTCAAACCTAGAAAGCACCTGTCCTGCCTTTGTAAACGTGTTAATGTTTGTTTATGCATTGAGGTGATAGAGCAAGTTCATTAATAGAAGCTGTAAAAAGTATAGACGCATTTCTTCAAGTGCCCCTTTTCTGTTGCACCCTGATGAACAAGATTTATGTGCATAATAATGGTTGTGCTGTTTGTTCATTGTCTCAGGTGCGAGCTCATCAGTTGGTGCTGCCGCCCTGTGAGGTGGTGATCAAGGCCGTCTCAGAGTACGTCTCCTCCATCAAAGACCTGGGAAACCTTGACTCCATCGCCAGAGATGTCTTCAAACAGTCACAGGTAGGTCATGTGTACACTCTGCTTTTGGTTTTATCATTTTATCTGTTGAGCTGGATTACAGTTGATTCAAATATATTTACATTTTCTTCTTAAAATTTCATTTTAAAACAAGACACAGAGTAATGTGCTTTCAGCTCATGTTTAACTTAACATATCTTACTGTTGCTGATGGCCAAATAAGTCATCACTGTTGACACCAGACCTGAGTCAGCATCTGGGCCTCCTTACACATCAGTGCTAAACTATAGAATTATACCACAATTTATAAAGATGCATGTGCATCACAAGATTACCAAGTTTCAGGTCATCAAAAGAGGGTGCTGTAGTTTGTACAGTGTTGAAAGAATTTAAAGTACACATTTGTAATTAGGGCCATAACTGACTTTTTCTTTTTTGGGGGACTTACTGACTCAGTAAACAATTTAAATTAAAAAATAAATAAATGAAGCTTCTTTTAAACATCTAATCCAGCATAATTTTATCAAGGCTAAATAATGATGCATTTATTGTGAAGGCCTATGGCACAACCTTTGACTCCTGAACTCACATCCAGCTAACAGGATGTCACTCAGACAGCGTAGGCTAGGCCTCAGTGTGTCAGACTGGGCAAACTAAAAGTGAAAATAGCCAGCAGTGAATACAAAGTTGTAAACAACACATCATCAAAGGCCAAATCGTACGAATGGTAGAAGTTCACTGGTTACAGGCAGTGAGAATAATGTTATCAGTGGCTTTGCTGATTGTAAATAGTGCCACAAAGTGTTAGCATTTGATAGCGTCAAGCTAGGAACGTCTCACTAAGGGAACTGCTGCAGAGCCCACGTGCTGCGTCCATCGACAGGTATTTTTTCAAGAATATAATAACTCTGCCTCCAAGACTATGATTGCACAGCAGGCTGAAGTGGTTCAGACCCATTTTTTTTGGCCCTATGAGACCCAGATTATTTTTTTATGGCAGTTTGAACAGTAAGAACCACATGGAATCGGATATTTTCCAGTTCTAATTTGTGCCACTTAAATATGTGGTTCTAAATCTGATACAGATCGAAGTTTTTAAAATAGGACCTCCATCTGAACAGCAATGTGTCACAAATTTTATGTCACTCTCGAGTGACATCCATCATAATATGCACTGGCGGGAAGCCGTAATGACACCATACGCACTCCTTCTCTTCATTCTTTTCCTATTCATAATCTGTTTCAACATTAGACTACTTCCATTACATAATACCTTAAAAATGAATGTGTACAGACTCACATCTGTGACCTCCATAATTACTGACTTCTTTGTTTACATCCATGAACTGTGTGCTGCGTGTGACTTCTGGTTCTTCTGTGCATATGGGTCACATCAGGGCCATGATCAGTTCTTACTGGAGTCTGATCTTGGTCACATTTTGAAAGATAATGTGAACAGCCACAGAATACAAATCAGATATAGAAAAAAAAAATCAGATTTGAGCACTAAAAGGCTTGCAGTGTGAATGTAGGCATGGTGGTGGGTACTTAATGCTGAAACTGAAAGTTTGTTTGAAGTCTTTAAACCTGATTGAGCATCTCTGGAGAGATCTGAAAATGGCTGTGCAGCAGCGCTCCCCATCCAACCTGATGGAGCTTGAGAGGTATTGCAAAGAAGAATTGGAGAAATGGCCCAAAAATAGGTGTACCAAGCTTGTAGCATCATAGTCAAAAAGACTTGAGGCTGTAATTGGTGCGGAACAATAATGAATTTAAGCCATCTTCGAATAAGGCTGTAACATAAAATGTGGAAAAAGTTTAGCGCTGTGAATACTTTATGGATGCACTGTATGTGCTTATGAAAATATGTGAGGTGTGTGTTGTAGGTGCAAAGCAAAACCAGGAGGTTAGCTCATACAAAACAGACAAAGTGGTGCTTGGTGTGGAGACAGGCACACTAAGCCATGGGCAGGCGAGGCTTTATTGGTCTGAGAGCACTGGCCAGATGCCCCCAGTCATCACTCTCACCTCCTGGCAAGACTGGTACCTGCAAGGAAAGAACGCACACGCACAGCGCTACAGCAAGGCAATATACTCACAATATATTGTATACATGAGAGAAAAAGATTGTGGTTGAGTAACGCTGTCGTAATCCTGTGTGTGCTTATGCATGAATGTGACTGAATGCACTTCAGACTTGTGCCGCAGTAAACCACTTATTTCTGTTTTATTTTGGTTTTTAAAATAAGCAAGTAAACAAAAAATATATATTTATGTTAATGTCCAGTTAAACCATGATTTTGAGATGCATCAGATTATTGGAAAATGTTGTCTCAGTGCTAATAGCTCTATAATTGTCCAGAAACTGTTAAAATACATGAGTGAGCAACACTGTTGCATTTACAGTTCTGCTGCTAGAAGTACTCAAGTACTGGCCTATAGTTAAAAGGTTTTCTGGTTCTGAATAGAAATGTGCTAATGGATTTGAAGGTGCTGAATTCAAATATGACCTTTAAAAGAGCTAGTTGGCTTTAGCTTTTAAGATATTTAGCCACTTACATTTTGTAGTGATTTGCAAAAAACTGACAAGTAAAGATAATTGATGCCTTTTGACTTTGACAGAATATGGGCTGATGTGAGTAGAGTTATTTTTGGCGACCTGTTTTAATTTTAGTTTTAGTCATTTTAGTTTTTATTAGTTTGTCACGTTCATACTCTTTTTTTTTTTTTTTTTTTTTTTTTTGTCTAATCTAGTTTTAGTC